TGAATTAAGATTAATGCATGTCTAATTGTCCTACGTTAATTAATCCACTCGATCACTAACCCATAAAACACACACTAATAAAAACGTACGTTCTTGGTTTTGTCTTTTTAATTACATAAATGCCACTGATCATCTACAGCTCATCTCTAGCTTAGCTGCTCCTGCTAGCAGTCTGCTAGCTGACCTAGACTGGGAGCTCAGATATATATATATATATAACTGACTGGATTACTAGTGGTAATTTTAGAGCGTAGATCAAACGGAGAACAACGTCGGAGATAGCCGGTAAGTACGCAGTCCATCGATCACGCCGGAAAATCAAGAATTTAATCTCAATCTGTTTTTAAGATGAAGATGAGATTAAGAATAATAAGTTCAAAAAAGAAATATATCCTTACCGGAAAAGTAGTAAAAAAACAGCAGTAGTAGTAGTACTAGAAGGCCGAAATTCATGATCAAAGAGAACGAAACCATTCGAAATCTACTGTGAAAAAATGATTCTTCATCCGTAGTTCTTCTAATTGTCATGATCGATCATTCACAGCCGCCGGAATAAATTTATAATCAATATCCTTCAGATAAGATGATCGAAGTTCAGAAACTAGCGCGCCCCTGCAAATTAAGCAAATCATGATGAGCAGGTTAAAGAAATCTATCAAATATTGGATTGAAATCTGAAAATTAATTAAGACTACTTCTGCTAAAAAAACGTACTGAATTATTAAGTACGTAGTAAAGATTTGATCTTTTTTTCTTTATTAGTACAGAAGGAGATTAGTTTTTAAGGTCGGTCGAAAATCGTACGTCGAGAATGTCAGATTCCGGGAAAAATGACTTGCAATTTCCGTCTGTGTTACGGGGGGAAAATCTAATTTGCCGGCAACTACTGATCAGTTTCGAACTGCAAACCAAATCTATTAACGGAGGGACGTCAATCTAAGAGGCTCACTTGGGACTTTATAACATGATGAATTTGGTTCCAGAAAAGACATGTTTTTTTAATAAAACTACATAAATGCCAGGCACAACAAAAGGCACCAGCTAGTCATCCGTTATGATTAGCTGGGTACCCGATTACCCACGAATAGATGGAACGGAAATCAATTTCATCGGTTCTGGTTCTAGGTACAATTGGTATCGAATAGAACCCAAAGCTAATAGACAGGACACCGAACCGGTTTACTGGTATCTAACATTTAGTGAATTGGAACCGACATATTTAAGAACCAATTTGTTCCTATTTTGGGTGTAGAACTGAACCAATAAGAATCAGTATCGACACAAGTCATACGATCCAGTTTCAAATTGTTCGAGAATCAAACCCTAATCGACCCATTAACACTTGCATAAATTGTTGGGGACTTGCTAAATTCAATCATGAATTCTACACTAATTATTAATTAATACTCATTGCCTTTTACTAGTTACATCAAATTTATTCTTACACTCTGATTACACCGACTTGTGGTGCCGCATAAAAATGATTTGAGGACTGATTTTTTGTTATTTTTTCTTCTTTCTTTTGTGAGAATGATATTTTCTTCATGAATATACCTTCATAAAAGAATCTGTGGCTCTAAAACTTTTAACTGTATTGAGATTTAATATATTAAGCTTTTGATATCACTCGTTTCACCTCTAATTTTCAACCAATTTTTGACAAGAATAATATGATTTTATGTGAGGGATAATCTATATGATGAGTAGATAGTCTCGCACAAAAAAAAAAGAAGAAAAAATCAGCATTAGAATCTTGAATCATATCTACAACGCAGGCATTATTGGGCAGTGTAAGCAGAGTGGAATAATAAATTGAACAGTTTTACATTAACCTAGGATTCTCACCCATTAAACTTATTCGCTAATGTATCACCAATTAAATTTAAAGAGAAAAGGAAAAATGAGGGACCCAAATTATTCGGTTCACATTTTCTTTCTAAATTTAATTGGTTATACGTTAGTCATACCTTTAGAGGGCGAGAATTACATGTGAATATAGAATTTTCTGAATAAATTTGATGCAACAAGCAGTAAAAAAAGCAGGAGTAGAAAAACTCATAAATATAGTTAAATAATAAATGGGTCGGAGTCGAAATGACGTGATCCGACCCGTACCCGGATGCACATTTTTACCCTAATAAAAGTAGCAATAAACACTCAACGTGGTTGAGGAGCTGGAGGTCACATCGGAATTTGACTGCCGCTTCCGGTGGGGGACAGACGGACGGTGGTGTTAAAAACATTCCTGCTGGCCCTTCCTCTCCCTCCACCAGTTAAATTCATAATTAAACCCGCAGTATAAATGAATCTGAATTTTGGACTGGCAGTCAGTCAGACATTAATCAACCATCATCATCGTTTTGGAAATTTGATTTTGAAACTCTAAAGCCATCCAATTTACCATAATACCCCTCAACCATGAACAGAAGACCACAACCACTGAATATATTAAAATCGGTTATGATGGTGGTTGTAAGTTGTAACTGTAACTCCCTCTTGCCGTTACCGTTATTTTATATAGTTTCCTTGATTCCTCTAGTCTGTCAGAGTTCAGATAACGGCAACGGCAGCAGTGATCTAGTATTTCGAAAATGAGGAGAGGGCAAAATAGTCTATTGAGGAATGAACATCAGACAAATAAGTAAAGAGAATTGAATGAATGGCGGAAATTTATGAATGGACGTTTTATTAGATCAAGAATTGGAGGGAGGGAGGGGCTTGGGGCCGGGTGGTGGTGGTGGTAGTTGAAAATTCTATTATTCTAGTTCTAGGGTTTTAATAGGAGTGATGAAGACTATATAAACATAGGCTAGCCGCCGAAAAACAGAGATGCCGGCTTTCCATAAGCGGCGTTATTTACTAACCTGTCTGCTATGCTCCACCACCACCACTGTACCCACCCCTTACCTGCAGGACTCCATTAATTAAGACCTCGATCTCTAGCTAAAGAAGCTACCGTTTCTGTGTAACGTTAACCGAGGAGAGAAAGATGCCATACAAGGAAGATGGATTTTGTTAACATGTGACCCAAGGGCCCACGATAAGTTTTTAGATTTTGTGTTTTGTTTAGTTTCTTAAGGATGTCCAAATGGGCTGACTTTTCGATATATATGTTATTTATACTATTTGCATCATATCTAAAAAAAATCAGCTCAGACCTCTAGCATACTCTAGCACCACGAACACTTAATTTAGACTTTAATAGTGTGAATAAACGGCTGACATTTAAAATGATTTGTTTGTAAGGTTAGATATTTCTGATTGAGTTGATTTTTTGTGGACATCTTATAAATAATGATAATATTATGTCTACAAAAATTCAACTGATTTGAAAACTTCTAACTTACAAAAAAATTCCTTCAAAAATAACCTTATCGGGTGCCCTTAGGGCACATGTTAACAGGACCCAAGGAAGATAAGGGGAGTCCTTCATTCACTCCCACATGTCAAATTAATTAATTATTAGTTTTACCTGCTCGGAAACTTATGAGAGACAAAGAGACCTAGAGAGAGGTCCAGATCAAAAGTTTTTATGCACCGGAACGTAAGAAGTACGAACACTCCAAAATGGGCCTCGTGTTCGTATCTGACATGTGTTGGACACGGACACGGCTCGGACACAGGTGGGATATGACTTGGACAAGGCCCACATGAATTTAAGTTTGGACACGGCAAAGACACGTTTTGGACACGGCGACATATTTTGGACACTTTTATTTTATTTTATTTATTTATTTTTTTGAATTTTTTTCTTTAAAACATGTAAATTATACATTGTTACAATCAATATCTTATTAAATATGCAATCCCCTTAAAAGTTCATTTTAAAACTAAAATACAAAAAAAATCTTTACAAAAACCATCAAAAGCCATACTTTCAAAATCCTAACCTTTAGTACTCAAGATAAGAAGGTTGGAGTCTCGCCATGTGACTTTATGACTTATTACCTCATATATTATGACTTGTGATAAAGCTAAAATGTAAATATTTGTAGTTAGAAATATAATTTTTTGATTGATTGTGTTTTTGTAATTAAATTACTTATATATTTTATTAATTGAATAATTATGCTAGTCGCGTCCGTGTTCTACTTTTTGAAATTTTGCTTTGTGGCCGTGTCCGTGTCGTGTCCCATGTCCGTGCTTCATAGTAACCTACACCCACCGTGAAAAGTGGGTGTCCAGAATATCACTGAATACTTCTTAGCGACATTCGGTCCAGGTCAAAAGTTTGGAACGGTTTTGACTTGCCAATACAAATCAATATTTTTTTTTTCGGGGGAAAGAAGCCCAGGTGTGTTTGTTTTTAATGAAACCGGTAAAATAGGTACTGTCAACAACAACAACTGATATTATCGGCTACGGCAGTGCTAAGGTTACAGAATTTCCTACAGAATTCTGTACAGCAGGCACACTTCACGGTGAGATGCATATCACTTTAGAATAGGGTGCGAATTACAAAGAGATGTATATGACTTTGACCGTTGGATGGTGAGTTGTAGTACAGAATTTGTTGTAACTCAAGCATTTCCGTATCGGCTAACTAGTTGGCATATGCAATACAAATATAGAACTTTGGTTTTTGAATCGACCCATTTTTCGAAACCAAGGGTAGATTCATCAAGGTCAAGGACAGTCATTTTCCACTCAATTAGATGAGTGTGCAATGTAATATGCAACCCATTATTGAATGTCAATTGCCAAACAATTTACCGAAAATCATAATTAAGAGTGAAGTGATCATTTTTGTCGGGATCAGTTAGATAATCAATACGAAGAGATTTAACACAATTTTTCAGAGATTTAACACAAATTTTCATTCAACCTGTGGACAAACGTTTTATGATCAAGAAGCTCATAATCATTAGACAAATCTCTTTTACAACTATGAAAAGAGATCAAATTAGATACATTCGAGTTCTATTGACACAATCGACCGACGCACTAGAATCATTCTATAGCAATTATAGGAAATTCTACAACAAAAAACAGATTTCTTACTAGTCATCGCTGCTAAGGTCTCCCCATCGAACATTGTGTTTTGCAGCAAGATAATGTGCTCCTACTGGTCCTCTACTACCATACGGGTAGAGCTCTGGAGCGATCTTCTTTTCTTCCAATTCTTTCAATAACGGTGTGAAAAGTGCCCATGCAGCATCAAGTTCATCGCTTCTAATGAACAACCTGTGTTCACCTTCCATGGCATCTAAGAGCAGCCTCTCGTAAGCATCTGGTATTTCCTTCGAGTACCTTCCAAAGATAAACCCAAAACTTAGTCACTCTAGCGTAACTAAACTCGCAAAGATAATCCAAAATATAATCGTTTTGACCATACTTGTTCTCATGCAGACATGCACCACCCCTTTTGAAGTATTTCTAGAGTAGAGGGTGTTGAAAATATGCTTAATATTTAGGCTTTCCTAGTTGTACTTAAATTAGGATTTCTAATTTAAACTTGAATTCTTGACGTAGATGCTACATAGTTGATTCTCATCCTTCAGAGATTACGAGTGCAATAGGAGGAGCATCCGTCGACATAAAGAAATGGGAATATATGGTTAGGGCACTGGCGGTGCCACATAAACAAAAGGGATAAAGGAAGCTAACGAGAGTGTTTAGTGGTTTTGGATTTTAAGATTGGGGTTTCTCTAAGGGTCTTTAAGGTTAAGAGTAACGTAGGGTCTTCTACTTTGGGGAGCCTTTTTTGTAAGTCTTGTACTCTTGTTACATCATAGTGATTGCTCATCATTCCCCAAGGTTTTTTCTTCCGGTTTAGGAGGTTTTTCCACGTCTTGTGTTCTGTGGTTAGCATCGTCTTATCTTTTATTTTCTTTGCAATCATCAATTTTATTTAACCGTTTTCGTCCTTCAGTTATTCCGCTGCGAAAAAACACAACAGAGGAGTGGTATGTAATTGGACTGTTAGTTGAGATGAGTTATTATGAATTGATCCTTTAATCTGCTACTGACTAATCTAGGATAGGACCCATGATATCTATTTTTGTTTTCAGAACAGTATTATTTCGTACTCATCTGTATCTGATTTTCCTCTTTAGAAAATTAATATGTACCCAATTTTCATACCTAACAAGATGAGGAGAATCATATTTCAGATTAAACATTGAGTATAGTACCGAGTCTCACCTTGTTTTGTAAAGCAGATTCAGGTCACTGCGGTCCAGTCTCATTCCGAGACCTGGAACCTTGTTATTGATTTTAAGATATATAGCTTCATCAGGTTGTAAGCGGAGCACGAGCTCATTGGTAGCTTTACCCAAATCAGTTCCAAAATTTCGCTTGTATAAGTTACCAGGGACATGCCTGAACTGAACTCTGATCTCTGCCCTGGATTCTCATTCCAATAACGCTTCAGTGATTTCACCATAAAAATCCTCGAAGAGTACCACAACATTATTAAACAAGAAAATGAAAAACGAAAGAGAGAGGCAGTTTTAAGTACCTTTTGGTATGGAGAGCTTTTCCAGCTTTCATCAAGAAAGGCACCCCATCCCATCGTGCATTATCGATGAAGAGAGCAGCGGCCGCAAAGGTAGGGGTGAGGCTGCCCTTTGGGACAGTTGGGTCATCTGTGTAAGCAGGATAAGACTTCCCACCCTTTGTATGGCCCTTATATTGCCCCACTGTTACATCATCAAGCACCACTGGTCTCATTGACCGTAAAACCTTCACCTGAATCAAGACCACATCCAAGACAAGAAAATAAACTTGTAGTGTTTCACTTGTGAAATTCTAGAGACAGTTTTTGCTATTGATTACTTGAAATTGAATACGGGGGCCCAGGCATTGTGATGTTTTTGGTGCCAGACCTACCTCTTTTGGTTCACTTCTTCATCTTAATACAATTCATTCTTTTCCGCTTCATAAAAATATAAAAATTTGCTCTTTGATCTTTTTTTCCTCCTCCTCTCCCTCTCCTTGGTTCTACATAACCATCAAGCGGACCTTGATGATGATCTTCGACCGAGCTCCAATCAGTATTCGAAGAACATAAACAGGCTACTGGACCCAGCATTTAATCACAGGTGTGAAAAAAAATTATGGCAAATTGATCAGAAGAAATTTTCATACCTTTTCATTCCTAATGTCCTCAGCATCTAAGGTGACAGGTGTCTCCATTGCGAACAGAGTGAGTATTTGAAGGAGATGATTTTGCATTATATCCCTGATGATTCCATAGTTATCGAAATATCTGTCGAAGAGAAGAAACCCAATAAGCACTTTTTGTCTACCAAAATATGATGCTAAATGATAAGATACTAAAGGGGAAAACATTTGGAACTAACCCTCCTCGACCTTCTGTTCCAAAATCTTCAGAAAATATAAATTGCACATTTCTGATATAGTTCCTGGACCATAAAGGTTCAAAAACAAGATTCGAGAAGCGAAGAACAGAGAGATTCTCAACAATCTCCTTTCCCAAGTAATGGTCGATCCTATACAAGAAGAAACAAAAGCCAGAGTTAATTTTCTTATATTTCCATTTGGAGAAACAACATATCAAAATACCTGAAAATTTGGTCCTCGGCTAGATACTGCTTCAAACATCTGGTTAGTTCTCCAGACGACTCCGCATCACGTCCAAATGGCTTTTCAACAATTACCCTAGTCCACCCACTTGCTGAAGAAGCACGAAGGCTAGCACATCTTACTACGTCAACAAAAATATTTGGAGGAATTGACAAGTAAAATAACCTATTGGGCAGCTTTCCAGCCTGAAACAATTTTTTTGATATTATTAGAAACATGTGAGAGATTGTGAGAAAAGTTAATAGGTAGTAACTATCATCAATAGTTTCTAAACAAAAAATCATATATAAGAAGTGAAGGGGTAATCTAATATGACAACTTATTATACAAACATAATTTCCGTTAACAATCCCATCAAGTTCCAAGTTCAGGTTCCCATCCCACCAAGATCATGATTTTATCAATAAAAAGAAAAAGAAGATCTCTATTATGAATCTTGCCTTCCAACTGCGTAGCTTGAATTCGCTCTCATGGTTTATAGCAGCACTTATCTAATTTTCAACCATGAATATGTCTATGATGCCATTGTCCAAACACACTAAGTTATTCAGGATTCTATTTCATTTTGATTTTCTTTTCATCTATTGACAGCAAAACATTATAAATAAAGATTGCAGGTTTTCATTAGTAGGCACATTACCTCTTTCTCTGTCAGTTTGTTGTCCAAATCTGAAAAATTTTCTTCTGAGTCATACTGACCCGAATGGTAGAAGCATCTTTGCAAGAAATGGTCCATCTTGCCGCTGCAGTTTTCCCTGTAAATTTCCAAACATATTTAAATGGATGACCGAAAATGTAACTTGATCAAGAATATGGGAAATCGAGAAAAATGCTAAACTTAAAAGGAGTACCTCTTATCAATTCTACAAGTCAAGGTTTTGCTAATCGTGTTCCTTAGTTCTTCATCTGTCATCTTACTCCGAGCATAACCAAAAACTGTAAAATGCTGTAACAGGAAACCATATTTATCCACTTCAGATGTAAATAAACCTGCATCTTTACAAACTAAAAGTTCATGAGGCAACAAAGTTTTCGAACCTCAGGTAGACAATCTTCATAAAAAAGAGCGAAAAGTGCAGGGAAGATTTTTTTCTTAGCAAGATCACCAGAAGCTCCAACAACAGTAATGCTGATAGTAGACTCCATTTTTTCTGATTGGGAGAACAGAAGTGACCCATCTTTTGATAAAACAGGTTCTTTAGCAGGTGAATTCCCACTCAAACCTATTAAAGATGTATAATTATTCAACATTAACAAATAATCAACAAAGGGAAATAAAATGAAGACCCCTTGGAAAGAACACCTAACAAATCAATCAAAAAAAAAAAAAAAGATAAGGAAAAATAAAGAACCCATCTAGGAGAACATTAAGTACATGATATCAAAGTAATCAAAATCAAAAGAAAATAAAAAGGCAAAAGAAATCCATTTGGAAAGAACAGCAAAAGAAAACAAGAAACAACATAATGTGAGAGAATACAATTACCCAACAAAAGCAATAAAAATGGATATGGATTTACCTATCAGGGATACTTTAAATATGGAAGAAATTTTATACATTAATCAAATAAGAAGAAACCAATTAAAAGACACAATACAATATATCAAACAGATCAAGAACAAGAAAAAATTGAGAAGCAAAACTAGACAAACCCCATCTCTGAAAGAAGATCTACAAGCTAGTAATCAACCAAGAAAGAATAGAAAACAACATTAGAAACAAAATTTGGAAGAAGTAAGAACTCACCATCTTGCAAAGAAACAGCATTTAGTGGGAACCCATTTGAGGATTTGAGTTCAAATTGCTTTCTAAGATGAGGGCTTGGATTACAATTAGATACTGAGGTGGGATTCCACCTGGTAAATGGAATTAATCTTCTGGGTAGATGTCTTTCATGTTTGAATGAAGAAGGTGAGAAAGTGGTGGAGGAAGAAGAACAATGACTGACACATCTAGCCATTGTTCAATTGGGTTGGTAGAGATGATTATTTAGAATCAAAGTTCACTTGCAGAAGCACAGATGATCATGAAATTGATACCTAAAGAAGCTCTGAGAGAATTAGAAATTCATCATCATCACTCTAAAAAGATATTTATCAAAGAAGATACTTATCTTCCAAAAACCAACCAAATACAGAGAGCCCAATTGGCCCTTCAAGTTGTCCAAGAGTCCAGGGGATTGAACCATATCGAAAATGTTAGAACTGCAACTATTGTACTCCTTGGAGTTGGGTTTTTACAAACCCGACGCCATGATCTGTTTTTGCAGGACACGTGGCACTTTTTTGTGGATTGTCATGATTAAAAGGCTGAATGCTTTGCTTTACGTCCACCGATTTACGAATCATGGGGCTTTCCGGCTGGGATTGAAGCCCGCAATTAGTAAAGTGTTTTAATCCGACGGCTAAAAAATATTTGTCAGGATAGGCGAGGTAGTCTAAGTACTATTTTTTTTTTTTTTTTTTATGATAATGATCTCTTCACCGCATAGAAGGTCATTCATTTAGAGGATGAAGTTTGCTAGTGGGAAAGAAGAGTTAGAACAGCTGAATCCGAGTCAACATTGGGCTCAGCAATGGGCGAACCATCTACGCAATGGTCAATCCATTCCGCCGACCCCAACATACCATCAATTAATCGTGGTGATGTTCATTCAATCGAGGGAAGGTCTGTCAATCGATCCTTTAAGGATTTCTTAGGGAATCCGCAGTGGTCACAAAATTTGGCTAAATTTGTAAAAAAAAGTTGCGTAGTGGAAATTGGTATAAATGGAAACGGACCCTACAAGTGCTCTCGCTAAGCTAAATTCGGCGACCTCCATTTCAATCTGGAGATTTTATAGCCAGATGCGTTGGGAGGGAGTCGTC